CCGCAATATACCATATTACAAGTTTCACAAGGGGATTTTGTAGATGGTTTTTTTCTTATCAAGATAGCCAAATCTATCCATAGGGTAAACTAGCTGAGTGTGTTAAGTAGACATCGGTTTGTTTGCCAATTTTATTTGGTGTTTCCGCAAGTGTCTTTCAACGAGTTCAGACAGGTTCCCTATATAAGGAAGGGTTTGCCATGGGTTTGCTTCGGGTACCTAAGTGGAAGTAGCTGGTTCCCTTTTGTTTAAGTGTTGCCCTCTCATGCATCAGCGTAAAAATTATCTGGGGTTACCATTGCGGGCAAAAATTCAAAGAGACAATTGAGCTCGTTTAGGTAGGTTTATTCGTCAGAGCAGTGTCTTCGCTCGGCGTAGCAGACTGTTGATGGCAATCATTTTGTGGGAGAAGGGGTTGTTGCTCGCATAGTTAGGAATAACTGCCGCATACGTGTCTTGGCGGTAAATGGACGTTTGTAATGTTCCGTCAGCATTTGGCCGCACGAGAACATCCAGAAATGGGAGTTTGTGTTTAACATCCTTCTCCAGCGGGATCTGAATGCCTGGAATGATTGAGGTGATTGTCTTGTGGAGCGCTTCAAAATGGCCCTCTTTAACGACAACAAATGTGTCGTATACATAGCGTACCCATAACATAGGGTCAATCGATAGAAGGACCATTGATTCTAGCCTCTGCATGGTTATTTCGGCAAGGAATCCAGATATGATTGACGCCATTGGAGCTCCTTTTAATCGTTGATAATACTGATGATCAAATAGTTTTCTGGACAAAGGTCCACAAGGTTAAGTAAGGTAGTTGGAGAAACCTTCGTTTCCTAGCTATTTGGGGCTTCCTTTGTGCACTGCCTCGCTACATCGAGTGGTATGGAGGTGAACAGGGAAACGAATTCGACTTAAATTTATGTTTCGTTAACTGTCTTAAAGTTCATATTGAATAAGCAGTCGAGTTAGTTACTTTATATGAATAGTGTCCTCAATGGCATCTCTTGCCTGCAACCATCTAACTATGCAATATACATTGAAGAAGGGGTATATTAATAACAGCCTTATAAGTGTATTACTTAATTTACGTGCGTTTAATTTGGCAGATTTACAACATAAAATGTATTAACATTTATCGCTCTTTATTCCTTAAAATAATGCGCTATCCCATAATTGAACTAGGTTTAGTTTCGTGAATGCAAAACAATATTCACTGTTCTCTGAATATTTATGCTAAAACAGTTTCCGATTTTTTTTATAAATGCTCTTTTATAGCATAAAAACCAACAACAAGTGTTTTTTTTTCATGGCATTTAATAGCGTAAGAAATTCCTTGAATATAGACAAACGTTGGATTTGGCCCCACTTGGCCCGGTTTTGCCCCAAGTATGCTGATATTAACACAAATCTTTGGTACTTAGCAGCCTTTTGTACCTCACGTTAGCTCAATAAACGCAGTAAACAAACACATCTGCTTAACATCTCATCAGATATGCAATTTACTCTTTATAGGAAAAAGAGTGTAGCATTTTAGATGCTGGCATAGGAAGAGCTGCCAAGAACTTAACTTGCTCGTGTCCC